AATATAGGATTTTATAACATGAACTTCACCAATTTCATTCTAATACTGCACAATACAATTATACAAATAAAGTTATTTTTGCATTAATGTCAAAAATGTGAAGTATGTTATATACTGGTCACATTTTTGTGGCAATTTTATGAATTATGCACTTCCTGATGGACACTTTAAAAATATATAAATATAATAATCATAAAAAGTGTAGGGTGTAAATAAAATAATATTTGAACTGTTTTTTGTTTTTTTTTCTAGAATTTTCTGTGGTGGAATSACCCAGACTTGTACCCAGTCGTTACTTTTTTTTCGGCCTTCCCTTGGTGCAATGCAACCCGTAAAAATAGCAAGCGAACCTGGGTACAAGTCTGGAAGGGACCTATCTATCAAGTGACTTAAATGTCTGTGTCTATACTCTCTAGAATTCTCTATTTGGTGAAGGGACCTATCTATCCAGTGACCTAAATGTCTGTGTTTATACTCTCTAGAATTCTCTATTTGGTGAAGGGACCTATCTATCCAGTGAYCTCAATGTCTCCATGCAGTATAGCAAATACAATAAAATATGGACAAATAGTACACTAGGAAGCAAAATGAGCTGTGTTGCCGTATGTGAGGTGCTTGATCATCCAGATGTTAAATGTACACAAAACAAAAATGCCAGAAATGGAGACACTAATCTATCAGGCCGAGCAAGAGCAAAGAACAGTGAAGGTGGCGATGTCCCTGAGAGATATTATGTGGTTACAAATAATGAACTTTTGAGAGTAAAATATTTGTTGGTATATGTTGAAAAACATCGACCCAAAAGGTAAGGGGATACATGATACATGAAATGAAGGAAAGCAAAGGATTATGTACATGCACTAAAGTGTGCAACTATTTACTGCAAAATAGTGCTAATTAAAGGGACACTGTCAATGGATGACATGCGCAGTAACAGTCTCACCTCTAACGGATTTTGAAAGTATTACCTTCGAGGTAAATCATTTTGTGGTGCTTTTGACACACTTTGGAATATTCTAGATCTGTTTACGTTTACGAGCTGATTTATGTCGCGCCAACTTGGAGTCATAAACTTGAAAACACTAGCCTAGTGTTTTCAAGTTTTCTTGCGCATGCGTGCCATTGACAGTGTCCCTTTAAACAATAGAAAATAAAAATTAGCATAATTTAGCAGTATTTAGTGGTGTTTATGTTGCACAATTTTTCTGCTGATAATTCTGCAATAAAAGTAATAATTCTATCGTAGTTTTGTCTTCAAAAGGTGTCATGTAAACAGACTCTTGGGAAGTTGAATTTACAGTAACACAATTATTTGAATTTCAGGTCATCATCATGGAGTTGGTTCACAAAGATAATGATTTTTTATATATTGATACTTATTATTCTGGGCTTTACCAGAACAAGAATATACAATGGCATCCGTTCTAAGATATTTGGTACTCACAGTGAATTGTGACAGCTTGTACCAATTAGCAGATTAGTGTTTGTAATATTTTAAGTCATATTGTTATATCAATTAAAATTACCATCAGTGATGATACGGAATGATTTTCATTTGATTATGAAAGAATACTAGACCTTTTTCAAAAGAGCCACCAAAAAATGCTCTTAAAGGCCCAGTTTGCACCATTATGCTTTGCGCACCTCTGTTATCAGTTATGAHTACACCAAACTGAAAACACTTCTGGTATCCAAATATGACGAATGTCAGATGGTTGAAAACTCTAATAATATTAGTACCGTTTAAAGCGCTTAAAAAAGTGAGATGATCAAAGATTTGGAACGCACAGTACAATATTTTATAGACTTTCTGTAAACTGAAAATGGTCACCTCCAGGCCCTCATGGCCCCCAAAGCAAAATGGTGCACACTGGGCCTTTAAAACTACATTATGTAAAAGTCATTATGTGAGCCAGCTATTTTATCAGACTAAGAAATTCCTTGACTTGTTGACAGTAGGTAGCCATACACTTGTTATAATAAACTGATCATGGACTTTGATAATATAATTTACAGTTCCTAGACTCAATTATTACATGTCTTTACACAAGATACAGTTATCATAACCTGATACTGGCCAAAGAAAGATTGAAAAATATAGGAAAATGCCTGTAAGTCCAACAAAAATACAAAAAGGTATAATTATAGATTAATTAAATATTATTTTTATTAAAAAAACCCATGCTACATGTAGCTATGACCAAATGCCATCAACAGCTATCTGCAAACACTTTCATTTTTGGATAAAAATAAAATGTTTCCATAAAGGTATAAATAATTATCAATAAATTTGGACAATATCTATAACTGACAAGCGTTATAGATGTCAAGTCTGAGTAGCTAATTGTCTTCCCTGACCAGTCCAAAGTTCTTTCAACTCTACATCACATCCAAGGTCTCTCAGCGCAGCTTTAGCCAGGTCACCACATTCTGTTGAAAACTTATGATTGGCTTGCCTTATTTGGTTCTCGCCTCCAGCACTGAGTATTGGTTCACAGTTGCCAGGGTTGCGGGCAACCAGGTTACGAAGTGCCAGACAACCTTGTTTCTATTTGGAGACATCGAACTTTGTTAATAACTTGAAGAGATGTTTGTAGGTTGGACATTACTTGACATAATGCACTGTGCTACATCAATCTTGATGTTTAAAATAAAGCCAAGCTTTTGACCTATGCWGCCATCTTCAGGGTTACAATGAATCCCATTATAACTAACAGAAAATTGATCTGTATTGTCACAAACTACATGTAGACTCTTCCACATTCTCAGTCCTGCTCAGCTTTTGGTCTTCTCACAATGTTCTTTTGTAGTTAACTCACGATCCAACATACAACACAGAGCTCACTGTGAGAAGACCAAAAGCCGAGCAGGAAATTGTGGGGAAGAGTCTAGTCACAAACCTGTACGCTAACAGCATCGCAATGAAGCTGCATTGCCTTGAGTATCACCTCAGCTCCACCAGATGCAACAATTGCGGCACAGTTTTCAGGATTTCGAAGTGAGATGGATGCAAGAACTGCACATCCCTGCTCTGCTACATATGGGAGCTTCTCRTGTGTTTTCATAGCCATAAGTACTAGATCCATTCCTTTACTCTCAACTACTGTCTTCTTGACATCATCATTGCCTGACAGGGTCTTCAACATGGCACAGACATTTTTTGCAATRGCCTGCAGGGTATGACAATAGAAAAAAAGCTACTCACAATTTGTTCTAGTCACTTTCATAACAAAGCTCCAGGACTTATGAAGTACTTTAAAAGCACAAAAATTCAATTTTGAAGGGCTGTTTTGAATTTTCTTTTTAAGTAAATTCTGGACTTTTTCTAGAACTGAATTCTGAAAAACATACTATCAAAATAAAAAGCCATTGTGGAACTCGTTTTAAAGCTTGGTTAGTGGATCARATTTTGCTTGACTGTACAAGGGCACTTATTAGGATATGAACAAAACACAGCACTGTCGGAAACCTTGCCTGGTAATTGGTTCAAAATAAAAAATTCAATTCAAATATTGACTTTGCAGCACAGTATGGTCATGATACAAAAGTGTCAATTTTTTTCACAGTAGTACAAAATCCACTCTTAAAAACTACTTCATGAAAGACTATACATAAGACGTACCTGGTTTGTAATGTTTGCTTCAAGCAGCTTTAATACCACCTTTAAACCTCCCATGTCAACAAACTCTTTACAGAACTCATTCCTTACAAATAATCTTCCTAGGGTTGCACAAAGCTCACTGAGTGTGTCCAGACTATCACACACAGACTCCATTGCTTCTAAGATGACTTGAAAAGCTTTCTCTGCAACTATCATTTTAGCATGTTCGTGCGCCTTTCCATAAGGGACTGACATATCATCATCGAAGGTCAAGACACGTAATAATATACAAATCTCTTTAGTGATTCTTGGATTAGCTTTGTGGCTGTCCAAAGCTTTTATTAGAAGAGGAATAATGTCAAGGCTGACATAGGTCTGTCTGTTTGACTCAGCTTTGATACAGCTGTAGCGGATAGCCCGTACACTTTGCTCCAAAACTTTACCACTATTACAAGAATCCTTGAGGATTGTAAATAACAATTCTAAGGCCTCTCTGTCTAGTATGTCAGCTTGTCCGTTTGTTAATGAGCTTAGTGCTTCAAGTGCAGGAGCAAGATGCTCTGGATTGTTCTGCAAATGTTTGATTGATGCTAATAGGACTTTTAGAGCTCCATGATGTGTAGCAAACTTTTTGTTTTCATTGTCACTACTGCACTGAAGTTGGAGTGACTCTAATGCTTTTACTAGTTGATCAGGATTGCTTGAATGGAGCGTATTTTGGATACTCTCTAAAGCATCTAGGGGAAATCGGAGAAAAATAAAATTAGAATGGAAGAATGAATAAAAGTAAAAATGCAATGAAGAAAAAAAAATGGACCACAGGGTCCGTGCAGAGTATCAAAAACGAAATTTAAGGACTTTTCAAGGACTTTTTCCAGGACCAAAATTGCATTTTCAAGGAGCATACCTCAAAACTTCAGCTGCAAACAGAATAATTCAAAGATTGCTAGCGCTTCGTGATAGAGATCCATCTTTTTTCAAGGAGTTTTCAAGGACTTTTTCGAAATTTTCAAATTTTCAAGGAGTTTCAAGTGCCCTTGAAAACAAGTTTTCAATTCAAGCACTTTTCAAGGATTTAAGGACCTGCACGGACCCTGGACCAATAAGTATTAAGACTAGTTATAAGAAATAAGTCAAGAAGATAGCTTGGCTACTCCAGAAAATGCATCCACCCTCCCTGTTCAGAAGGAAATTCTAGGGGGTACCAGTGGGGAAATTCCAGGGGGTACAAGAGCTGACTTTCTTCTCATTTTTCAAAATTTGAGGGTCGGAAGTAAGTTAAGCTTGTTGAAATTTCATCATAGAGAAAACAAAGTTGCTAGCCGACTATTTCTAGAATKTTGTAATGATATTTCCAGAGGATCGGTGATCAAAGTTTGACAGCATTTCTTGAAAAAATAGCCAGCCCTTTCTTTATTGGCCAAATTGCATCAGACGTGGCAATTTTGATTAAAATTTATGACATTAGAACCCACCTTTGACAGGGTGACTGTGCCTTAGACCTTCCGATCCAGAGCTACCTTCTTCTAACACAAAAGAAGTGATAATATTACTTAGATCAACGTTTTGCGATTCGAACTGCTGTTTTGCATCTGCAACGGCTTCGTCCAAGTCCATCTCAAACTCATCGAGATTTTCTTTAACTACGGCGTCAAAAGTCTCCTGCGATATTCTCTTGGGTTGCGTCATTCTTCAGAAAACGATGAACCTATATCTATAAGTTTTTGAATAGTTACATTAAATTTTATGCTTGTTTTGTTGTTTCGTTGCCTACAAACACCGGCTTTTTGACTACTCTGAGCCTACGAGGATATGGGCCAGCGTTATACGTAAAGTGAACATGCGCACCATACCAAAACAAACGCATGCGCATTTTAATCTTAATTGCAACATATAAATTCATTTCGAACACTTGATCGTGCAAATTTCGTAAGAAATGGATTCGAAAGCTTTCTCTCTCTTTTGTGTTGGTTTGTTCGCTCTGTGCTGTCATTCTGTGTTCTCTGAAACTCCCGCTCCTACGACATCGGCTGTTTCTAACGCTACGACTTCTTCGCCGACGACACCCAAACCAGCGCCATCATGCGAAGCTCTGAACACCTCTTGTGGTGCTTGTACCGACGATTCTAAGTGTTTTTGGTGTGCTTCGGATTCGACTTGTAAAAAATATCCGGCAAGCAAAATTATACCTCGAGATTGTAAAGGGAATAAGTGGTACTTTCAACAGTGCTTTGCTCCTGGTAAGAGCTTAAATATACTTTTACAAAGTTCAGACGATAAATTATAAAGTTTATGTCGTAAAACTTTTTAGCTGTTAGTTTTGTGAAGTAGTCTATCTGAAGTTTTATATAATTTTAATTAAAAATCTGTTTGGTCCAGACTTTATACGGTTTTCATTCGCAAAACTTTTCCTTTGTTCTCATTTAAAAATCAATATCAAATGCAGCTGTTCCAAACATTTATGTCAGCTATCTTTTTATAGACGTAACGTGACGGTGTAGCCTTGTCACATGATGCATACCATTTAGTCAGTTTTGKCATGTACGTCAGTGATAAACAAATTGAATGTAATAAGAAGAGTAAATGCCTCCCTTTCTTTCAAAATGATATTTGTTTAAAAAGTGAAATAATTATAATTAACGTTTTCTCTTTATACTATTCTATGCTATTGTTCTATGCTATTCTACAACGCTTTATATGATCTACATATTTCATAGACCTAATCGGCTAACGCGTTTCTACAAACGTTTCCACCCAATTTAAACCACCCGGGAGTAAGCTTCATTGTTCGTTCTATTTTCATTTCACAGTTTAATTCTTAGGAACAAAAGTTATTTTTTCCACAGGATTTGAATTGGGTAGTAACGAACATGACAATTCATTGTCTATTTTTTGGTACATTTTTAATTCTCTTTATTTCATATTCTATTATATTTTTTATTCCAAAGGTTACATAGTAATAATTGTGATACCATCAGTTGCGGGAGCAATTCTTCTTGCACTGGGCTGCTGCATCTACTGTTGTTGCTGTCGCAGCAAAGGATCCAGTGGTTTAGATAAAGAAACGCGTAGGATCAGACAAAGACGAGAAGAAGCCCGGCAAAAGAGCGAGGCCAGGAGGGCTGAGCGCCAGAAAAGAACAGATGCAATACGACAAAAATATGGACTTCTTACTAATGAAGATGACAATGAAGTTGTATAATTAACTGAAAGACATTGAAATGATTCTAATAACAAAATAATATACATGTACTGTACATACCTTTTTTGATACACAAGTGGCATCTTGAATCCCCAATTTTTTTTCCCAAAGTTTTTTTTTCTTTTGCTTTGTATTATTCTTATAAAAATTCTACAATAATAATTCTATTTCCATATTGTCTCAGAAAGTTCCATAATTATTGATCATGGCATGATTTTATTTGTTAATTTCACTTTGAAACTGCATGTCCCTTGGTTTCTGTGAATGTGGTCCACATACTTATTGTAGAAATGATGTACTTCATCCACTCTGATTGGCTATATTTATTCTAAATGAGAATGATATTTAATGCYGTCATATTGATTGACAGCTTCTCAGATAGATTTTCAGAAGAGGGGTTGGGTGGGGGTTGTATTTGAAGTTTTGAAACATATATGAAATAAGATCAAATAAATGTTGCTCATTRTTTTTATGTTGTTTTGTAAAATGTAACRTTTTTTCATTCAGTCTTGATAATGGCTYKGTRAGCCGAAARCTMGACGAAAATAAATATCTTTTAGGTTGAAGTAGCGCTTACATYGTAATAATAYATGAMATAATTATGCTTGTTCTGCTGTTTAAAAGAGATCATATCTAATGAGATTACCAGCACATACAGTAAACACACTTAACCTGTGTAACTGCAATATTGGTATGATGACTTGTAATASGAAGGGACAATATGATTTAGCATCATTTTTGTTGTTTCACAGGTTGAATGTGTAAACTAAATGGATTTGGTCGTCTTAAACAATTCATCCAGTATAATTTTGCTGACAGGACACTAGCTRATATACAAAGAAAAAAAACTGATTTTGCTGCTGATAATTCTGCAATAAAAGAAAGATTTCTATTGTAGTTTTGTCTTTATATTAAATGGTATTGAGGGAGRGGAGGGAGGGTGGTTACTGCACACACTATATGTATGCCTTTTTCTTCATTTGCAATAATTTGCAAGATTTGTCGTCAATGCAGTCATCTTGGTTGAACTGTAACAAATAATTCCCCATTTCTCATTGGCATTATTGGCATAGTGCGATCTGTTAATCCTTCAACTGCATGGCTATCTGTCTTTTGAATCTCATGAGAATTTCTGAAAATGACCAATAGGAGAGAATAATTTTCCATTTTCCTGGTCACAGGTATTGACCATTTCCTAAGAGGGCAAAGGTCTTTTTGTTTTGTATTCCAGATAAAGCTGCTTTGACATTAATTGCAAGGGTTCTATAGTCTCTGATATATGAATACCATAATGTTCCTCATTGTGATTAGTTGACCATATTTATTAAGAATACAATTTTTATATTTACAATCTTATCATTATTAACCATTAAGATAACTAAAATTATATAATATTTACAATTAATAAATCATTTACAACTCAAAGCAAATTGGTATTGGATAACATGCTTTAAACTAAAAACCTGACATTTTTCTCTAAATCAGTTCCAATCTGATGTTTTGTGATGCATGATTTGCTTTTTAGAAATAGCTGATTTGCTAAAATTTTCTTTGTTTCCAAAAACATGGAAAACATAAATACGGATATATTCTTCAAATATGAGTTTTCGTACAAGACGGTTTTACCAAATATGGACTTTCCTCCCCAAATAYAGACCTCAGTTTCCAAATACTGAAGTTCGTGACGTTCCAAATTTGTAGTGTCTAACCATAAACGTGCTTGCGTTTACAAATATGACGTCAATTGCCAAATATGGATTTCGTTCGCCAAATATGGACACCATATTCTCATATACCAAATATGTACTCCCTCATTTCTCCCTTTTTCAGATTATTTCTCCAAATAATTTCCTCAACTCAAAGTCTTTTGTGTCCAGTGCTGCACGATCCTTTCAGTCTCAGCATTTTCTTGTGAAAGCCTTTCGACCAAACTTTTACAAACGGCCGTTCTGGTAAAATYAGACGAATTTCATCYCTTCCGATGTATTCAACGTTTGCCATCAWAGTGTACGACGCATTTACTTTAAAATTTGGACAGTTACATCGATCATTTCTCACGATAAGAGTAACAAGGATGTCGTCGAGAGGAGAGTATTCTTTGTACTTGTGTTGTACGGCGGCGTAGTATTTTGTGATGTGCGTCGATGTGTTATGCAAACGTTCAAGTATTTGCACTGCCAAAACTGCAAAATAATAAAATAAATAAATAACTATTTAACATAGTCATTTTTATCCGTCTGTGAAACAATTACTACTAGTCAGTGTTTAATAGTAGCTAATAGAGCGGATTTCGTATGAGTGGGACACCATTACCGCACGGTTACCGCACTGATACCGCACCTGGACTGCAGAATTTTGGTGAAACAATGGGGCACTAGAATTCGGTTACAGTACGATTACGGTCACAGTACAGTACCGTCCGTTTCCACTCATACGAAATCCGCTCTAGGGTGTAGTAGGCTACCAAAAGGCAAAATCAAAACCGTGTTTGCCTAATTAGTTTGTCGCATGTCATAAGTTAAACTATTGGGAGCTAATAGAGGGTAATAGTATTTAATATTACAATTCCTATTTCACAGACAGATGAAGATGACTCTACGGACCCACACACTCTACCGCAACATTTACAGTTTCAGCATACGACACTCCAGTCACAGATAGTTTTTGAGTGACGCAGGTTGGTTGAGTGCATCAAGTCTGTTCCATGAAACGTTTTAATGGAACAGTTTTGAGRGAAAGTAWTRGCGAGAARCCGAARGTATTAGCGAGAARCCAWGGGYAAAAGACTGACTTCYTACGTAGTACGTATTGCAATTACGCARGTCTAACGCRTCGCTCTTACGGAAACGTCAGTACGAWGTTACGAAGCTTGCGGCACGTACCGTAATCACTCAAGCAATAGAGTTTATTTCTTCTCTTTGACTTMAGACATGGAGGRCACTTTGGRGAGGTASTTGGAGTAACTTTATTTTCAGTAGATGGAGTATGGCTTGAAGTGGAATTTGATAGTAATGTAGAGGTTGTTGGCGTGGTGGTTACCTCCGTGGTTACTTTATTGGTAGTAATAGGTGGTGTCGAGGGTGTTGTGCTTGTTGKTTTGGAACCTAAAAAACAAAATAGCAGCAAAGACATGATTGTTTTAAATTAAAGGCAACAAATAACCAACCAAATGCAAACAAGCGCAGATCAAAATATCAATAACAACATAAAAATAAAAATACAAAACAAAATAATAAGAAAAAAAATAGGATTGCACTTAAGCTAAGCTGAAAAACTTTAAATAACCATATTTATTTGTTGTGCTAAAATTTATTAGTTTTATATACAGTTTTGGAGCAAGTAAGGAAAGAGTTATTTTCGGGTAAAGACAAAAGTCAGCGTCGGAACTCCTCTTGAAAATGCCTCATCTTTATACGCGCGCCTGTGATCTTTTTGAAAGCGCCCACTTATCCTGGAAGTATTCTATTGTTGATGCTTACCTGAAATTAAATGAACAAACGAGCCAACATTCGAAGAACTATTACAACCAAGTCGTAGTGATTCCACCTCCTCTTCAAAGTCTTCATTCCATCTTTGCACAAAGTTACCAGCAGAGAGTTTCATAATGGACGGTCCTTTTCTTCTTCTGCGTACTAAACCCATCACGACATACTCCACACCTACTCGCAGTTTAGGACAATGGCACTCGATACCAGGAACGCGCAGTAGAATTATAGGCGCGGTTCCATCGGTACTCTTGTAGGTTTGTTTCACTCCCACATGGTAGACAGTTCGGTTTGCTGACGTGTGGTACATCTTGATGACGCGCACRCGTAATACTAAGGTAAACAACGTAGAATTAACATTTGAAATAGAGGACATATTGAATATGTGAATATGGAATGATGGAGTATTATAAATGTTCTGAATTAATGGATTAATTTTTATTTATACTCACCATGCTCGTTTAGACAAAAATCATGGATGTTGTAGGAAAGTTGGCAATGCGGACAATTGGCTGAAAAAAATGAAGATTTAAATACATTGCTATCCATTAAGCCTTCGAAGAAGCTTTGCCGTGCTCCGTTTGATAAAATTAATGTGACATTCCTTTTTCGCGTTTAATTTCCCTTAATTCTCCACTCCTTCCTTCTTTTCTTTTTTTATTCTCTTTTCCTCCCTAAAATGGGAGTTTCTCGGTGGCAAAGGTTTTCACCCAAACAAACCATTGATCCCCAGCTGGATAAGAGAGATGTCTGTTCAAACGCAACAATAACATAACACTTGCGTAAAGAAATCATACCTGTTGGCGATGTTGTTGTTGAAACCACTGTCTCTTTCACTGTCAATTCGCTACCTGTAGTACTCGGCGGATTTTCTGTTGTTTTCAATGTTGCAAGTGGGRCAACTTTTGTGACTGCAGATTGTGACCAAAAACATACATTGTCATATTCAAGCTGTGCAGTGCCCATTTGTTTAAACCTAATAAGCATGCGGGTAGTCCCTTACCTGTAGTTTCCTTAATCTTCACTTCCATTATAGACTTTTCACATTGTGTTTTCAGGATGTCGATGACTCCAGYAAGGCTGTCATCCCATTCTTGTATGTAACTCTTACGAGTTARAGTCATTCGTACTCTCCCTCTGCCTTTGTCTTTAACTCGACCAAATATTAGSAATTCTTTAAGAAAGAGAATCATAAATCTATATTCTCAAAACGACAACTAGTATTTAGGTTTAAACTCAACTACTTTAATCTCAATAGATTGAAAGGATTTTGTGCTCTCGATTCCTTCTCGCAGAATCGTGGAATTTGACCAATTTGATCAATTTTTTTTTTGAGTAATAACAGTTCTCTTACCTTTACCAACAGCCAATTGACTACATAGACATGCATTATCAGCTACTCGAACCGGGATCTGGTCTGGCAGCTCAAAGGTACTTTTAAATGCGGTTACCATAGTAATGAGGTATTGAGTACGATTGGCTGAAACTCGATGAATCTTAAAAACACGACCATGGAAAACTGGAAATGAAATAAAAAAATTATCTAAATGAAAGTCATTTCAAAACTTATGAGATGATTATTTTTTGATTTTGTGACCTGCTACAAGCAGGTTGGCAGCTAAAAAAGACCGAGTAATGAGAGCATCGAATTATAACCGCTGTGGTCCCTTTTAGTTTATCCGAAATGTGGCTTCAGTTTCCTCTCTGGCAGCTCGATCTATTAAGCTGTGCTCTTTGATCAGTTCCGAGTCAGCTAATCTGTGTCGATGTATGTGGTATATATGCAATAATCACTGTGACGTCAGTAGATGTACTTTTTGTAATTGAAGTTCGTTCATATACTTATTCTCGATCACATTGCTGTGCCCTTGTTGATTCACGTTGATTCATAGGCTACCCAACTATTGCTTGAGAGAAAGAAAAGAATGAATGCGCACGCTTATATTATGTTATCGCATCGTCGCGAGCTGCGGGTTACCTGTGGTATTACGTCACGTTTGTATCCTGCGAGGCACGGGATCGTGACGTAATACCACAGGTAATCCGCATTTGCTAAGAGCGCGGGCCGATAACCCATACAGTCATAATAAAAGCGTGCGCATTCGTTATTTTCTGTCTCTAAAGCAATAGTTGCGCGGCCTATGGTTGATTCAGCACTGTGCTTCACGCTAGAGTGGTACAACATCTTTTACAAAATCACCTCCAGTAGGCAAAGTAATGGTAGCGGGTGAATTTTCATACCTTGGTCGCTTTTGCAAAACTGTTTTTGCCGTGTCTTGCTTTTGCTGAGAGGACTACARTCTTGACAATCTATGAACATACAAGGRAACAATGAAGAAGAATCAAAAGAACTGTTTTTTTTATTTTTATCTTTACTTCATTATTCCTTTAAATCACATTTTATTTTCCAAATTTAATGTCCTTTCCTGTTTCTACTTTTTGRAGTTGTTTTTTGCTTTTTGCTCGCGTGAAAAAGCGGCTAGTTATAAATTCAGCATTGCTAGTGTTATCTTTTTATTATTTTACTCGTTCAGCAACTAAATGACCAAAATCAGTGCATGCGTACGCAGCTATGCAAGTAGTAGGCATGCGCACAGTCAAATGGTCTACTACAATGACGGACAAGCGTTTAGAAAATGAGTGTTCATTCTGGTATGATTACTTTACTTGTAACAACTCAAACTCACCATTTTGCTGTTCTGTAGTTGCCCTTTCAATAGTTGTGGGTAATGTGGGTAATAAGTTKGCAGTCTTTGTAGTCCCTTTGTTAGTAAGAAATGATTTAGATTATTGCATTGCAAGCTATGGAGCCAACGGATCGTAAAGGAAAATAAATTCACAAATATGAAGTCTAGGACTGCATGTGGCTAGTGCTACCAAGCAAAACAGAAATAGCATAGAGATAGCATAGTAGCTTGAGCCTCGTTCCGAGGCACTAGCCACAAAAAGGGGACAGACCAATATAAGAAAATTACCTTCAATATTTCATGAACAGCTTAGAAATTTATAATTTCCGAGTTCGTTTGGCAAATCTATATATAGCATTAATTTTTTTTCACCTCTAGAAGATGCAAGCGTAGAGATGGTTGTCAGCTCCTTTACCACAGGTAACCCGCACCTCGTTCTCACTACGTCGATTTTCTCATCAAGACTGTCATCCCATTTCTGAACAAAGCTATCTATCGATAAAGTCAGCCTTTGCTTTCCAGTGAAAGTAGCCTTAGTTCTGCCAACAATAAGGTATTCGGTCCCAGATTCTAGCGGTGGACAGGGGCAGCGCTGTCCTGGGACTCGAATCAACACTTCATGTGGAAGTTCATGAATTGTCTTGTATGTTGTGATGACATGCGCGTAGTACATCGTTCGGTTGGTGGCGAGACGATACTTTGTGACCTTAGCGCGTATGGCTGCAAAGAAAAGAAAAGAGAAAATATAGCTTATTCTGGATTAAATGTGACTGTTTGTCAGAAAGTACACTAAAGAAAGCTTGCACGGTAAGCAAATCAAATTTTGAGCCCCCTGTGTTGATGCACTTACCATAATCGTTTGAACAATAAAGAGCTGCTAGGTTATCAGACAGCCGACACAAAGGACAAGGGTCTATTAGAAAGAAATAATCATACCGAAAAAAATCAGATAATAAAGGCAAAATAATAATCGTTTAATACACTTTAAAATATAATTTTAAAACGGGCACTGGTCGTGATAATGAGGTTATGSTGTTACTCACCAGCTGTTGGTTGGGTAGTTGCCATTCTTGTTGTGGTCGGTGGTCGGATTGTTGATTCAAGAGTGGTCGCTTTAGTKGATGTGTCGCTAACTACAATAATRGTTTAAAGAGATAAAAAAAAGTTTCATTGTTTTCTGTTGTATCTGYATTGGCTTTATRAGTTTTTAACAGTTGAAATGTYCTTTCAAAATACCTGAAGTTGTTGGTATCTCTGTTGTGGCAGCCTTYTCTACTTCACAATCCATCTTCATTGAATCAACTTCTTTTTCAAATTCACCACTCCATTCCTTGACGAAAGTTCGACGATTYAGCATGACTCTKATTTGCCCGGTTTTCTTTGTCTTCAGCTTGCCAAATATTACATACTCTTTACCAGTCTCCAAAGATGGACAYGGRCATTGGAGSCCAGGTACRCGKAGKGACMGCTTGCTGGGAAGTTTTGTAGTTGYTTTGAATGTTTTTAKTATCCTCATTTTGTACATTGGTTTGTCGTTRGAGTTCATGTAAGTRTTTTCAATARAAACAYGGATGGCTAGAATRGRAARAMWAWCRAWYMAWT